AACCAGGTTCTACAAATTCATTTAAGGAATCCTTAGAAAGGTTAACAAAGGTTTGAACTCCTTTTGTGTGACCCCCGTTGTAGGTATCACGTCAATTTCCATTTTTAATGATACAGTGGAAGGTAAACAAATGTGGAAAAAAAAAGATGACACCCCATCCCCGAGGGCCCCTCAACACCAATCGGACGGCACGATGGAAGTATGTAAATTGGACTATAATCACAATCTGATAGATGGAGAGTGGGGCTCCGTCCCCGCTACTTGCAGAGGCCCTATGCATTTTTAGCATAGTAACCTCTCATCACAGTTGCCGGGATTCGTCCCCGCTACTTGCAGAGGCCCTATGCATTTTTAGCATAGTAACCTCTCATCACAGTTGCCGGGATCTAACCCTTGTGACACTCCCTCGCTACCAGTTGAGCTACGCCCACCGGTGGAAGGTAAACAAATATGAAGCCTACTCAATGAAGAGAAGAATCACCACCACCTCCCCCTATGTTCGGCCATATGAGAGAAGGGGCATAGGCGGGAATAAAAGTTAGACTGAGCTGGGATCCAAATTTTTTACTCCAGATAAATTGCACATAATTTTACTTGCCTCCTTTGTCCCAAAATTGAATTACAATTTGCAATTTTTTAAATTAAGTAACTATAAAATTAAATCACCCTATAGATATTTGAATCAGTTTTACTAATCAATAGTTACGTATTCAAAAACAATATTGAAAGCTCTACAAAGTCGCAAATTCAAATTAAAGTATAAAAAATAGATGTCCTAAATTAGTAAATAAAATCAAACCATGTTGTCCAAGAAAATAGGTGTTGCAAATAATTTTGGAATGGAGAAAGTATAAAAGACAAGTTGTTTCGAATTTGAGATGGGGTATGACAGGAGTCACAAGACCCCTAGCTACCCCTGCATATGAGAAATACACTTCATATAGCACAACGGCTAATAAGGTACCGAATAGAATTTGGAATCACATAATACATGGTTAGTCACAAAGGTGAAAATTTGGAATAATGATCCCAGATCGATTAAAGCGAGGGAGGCTACTTGTGCGAAGTGACAATAATCATCTAGAATATGTGTTTAATTGAGATATCATGGTTAATTTAACCGGGGTGCAGGACCCTTGGGTTAATTGGGATTAACATTTTGGATTTTTGGAGCAATTGTTACGTGGGCTTCTCATCAAATACGACATCATAGGTATTAGACTATTTACCTACTTGTAGTGCCATCTTAAAAACACTTTTAAATGTGAAATGCGTCTTATCATTACTATTAATTAATTACTCTGTAATTATTTAATATGACTAAATAACTCTGACAGAAGATAACGATAAATGGCTGATAAAAAGATGACATTAAATCTAGATCACATAACCATGAATTAACAGCTAATAATGAATAGGAAATGAAGGGATGGATGGACGCAAAGGGGGCATGTGCCCTTATGGTGGGCAGTGTGCACTGTTTGGTGGATTGTTCATAGCACTCAATTCTCAAATTAAGTTCCTACAAAATATATGAACTGATGTCATTATTCTTGGATGTTATAAGGAGTATTTCGATCTTGTTAAATTTGCTTCTACTCCTTCGGAGAGTAGAAATAGATATTGGAGTGTTTGGGTGAAAATGCATAAATACAGTGGGTGCTAGAATTACTCCTACAAGCAGTTTTTTAAAAATTGAGGGAGACCAATTTCTCAGAAATTGATTTTAATTCCGCTTGTACTTCTTCTTTTAAAAGAAACCAGAAACATAATAAGTTCTGAACACCTTAAGATGGCGGCCAAAAGTATCATAGTTTTTTATAGGCAACTCCACCTATCATCTCAAGTAATGTGCCCAAACTCCTTTCTAAGGTTAACCGCAATCTTGTTCCGTCAATAAATCAAATTTCTCACCAGTTTATACATATTCATTCAGTCAATTCACTTTTTACTCAAATCCAGCACCATCAATATATTCAGTCATCAAAACTTTTCATAATTAAAACCTTGCTTTTATTATTATACATTAATTTTTTCTCAACTTTTTTTTGCAAATAATTATGATTTTAAAAGTAAAACATTTCGATGTAAAAATAAATAAATTTGAAGTTTAATGTTTTTTGTTAATTTATACCTATTTTCTAAATAAATAACTCAAATATGTAAAAAAAAAAATACGCATCAAGTCTTAATTTTAGAAATTTAACAAAAATATTGAACATAAAAATCTCCAATTGATAAAAGCACATATTTTATTTTTAAAATTCTATATACATAATATTGGTGTCATATGAAAGATAATAAAAAATTATGAATATTGATATAATTTTTGTAAAAAATGGATTACAAGTAAAAAAGTTATAATAGATTAAAGTTTTTTGGGATTTTTTAATATTCCTAGCCCATATTTCTGGAGAACCACAAGCTTAGTAATCTGTTCGTGTAGTAGCCTTCTCTCTCGGTGAATGTGCCTCTCAATTCCCACTCCATCCATGCTATCTAGCACAATTTGACACACATAAATACAGGGTTGTAGCAAATGTTAGAGTCAAAATCTCAAAATTAGCTTTTTACTCATAGGTTATGGGCAGCCTAATGCAGACAGATTACGTAGCCACATATGTGGGTTCTAGTTCTAATAATGCGTAGCACCTGCCTGGTTTAGTGCTGTTGGGTGTGTTTCGGAAAATAAAGAAAATTAATTAAAATAAATTAATTAAATAAAATGACGAAAGAAAAACAAGAAAAGAGATGGAGCAGAATTTGTCAAAGCTCGTACTACGCACGATGTCCTTAAAACGTATTTGTTGCCTCCCACGGTGCTAGGAGCGTTGCAACAATAGTTTCCCAGGATACGATGACAACGAACTAGTGTTTGAGCACACAAACAAAAGTTCCAGCGAACGAGAACACAGTATGAACACAGAGGAAATTTTCGGAATGCTAGCAGTGTGTTTTTAGAGCTAAAACGTGTATGGATTTGTGTAAGAACTTGTATTGTTGCAAACCACCTGCCAGCCATTATATAGGAGGATTTGTTGTATGAAAATAGTGAATTAATGGACCTGAACGTTGGACATCAATGACCAGTCCGTTGGGCATTGAATTGTCCATGAACTGTCCATTTAACGCTGCATTAAAAGATATAAACGTTGGGCATTTATTGCTGTAACGGTTCAGAAGCCATCAGAAGACCCCTACGTAGTTCTGCCCGAAGGCCATCAGAACTGGAGCAGTTCTGATGCGCGGTCATCAGAACCGGAGCAGTTCTGATGCGCGGTCATCAGAACCGGAGCACCTCTGGTCGTGGCCTTCTGCCCGGAGCAATTCTGTCAACTTGGAAAAAATTATACGTTTCGGGAAGAAAACAAAAATTAATCGTATCTCTTGAGAGATAGATTTTTGGACGAAATTCGTGTCCGCAGGTCGCCCGCGCACGCAAGTCGCGGTTTTTCTTCTCCGAATTCGGGATTTGATTTGCACCCCCCCCCTGCGCGCGTGGAGAGAGCCTTTACCCTTAAGAATCTTAACTCCATAAGGGGGGAGTCCCTTTATAAAGGGTAGCAAATCCCTTGGGTTTTCCGGTGTGGGAAATTAACACTAGAAACCCATCCTTTTTCCCCAGTTTTTCCCTTCTAACGGGTAAACTTCGAAAAGCGATTTCTCATTCACCCGTTATCCGTTTTGAGCGTACCATATATCGAATTGTAGCCCTAAGCAAGGACAATCCGAAACCACTTTGACCCGACCCAAATCGGGAAGTGGACCCCACTCAAAAAATTGCCCCAAAATAGCCATTTAATGCAATTTTTCACACATTTTTCCAACAAGTGCTTGGTCCAATCTTTTTTAATACCCCTATATATGGATCCGGGCCGGTTCGGGGCAGGTTCCAAGCCTATTCAGGTCTTGGGCTGGGAGTGATGGGTTCCAAGACCACTACCCACAGTGGCGGAACTAGCCCGGCGATCTCGAAGGGGCACATTACTAAAAGGCTAAGCACTTTATTACTTTTAGGAACCGTGTATAAAGCCGTTTCATATGAGTTCTTTGTTAAACAACATTGAACGACCGTACTTGAAGTAATATGGCACTACAAAAAAATATGAGATTGACGCGGAGGTGGCATGAATTGACTGATGATCATTTCGTGCCAAAGTGTTTTTGGCACAATTTAGCATATCCTATCAAATCCTTTATGAATTTAGGGGAATTTCTGCTAAAAATCTCATCAATCTCGTGTCTTTTTAGTGAGTATAATTGTAAAACTAGCATTATAAAACATAAAATAAACACATCCAAAACTACAATACAATGAACATTTAAAACTAGCATTATAAAACATAAAATAAACACATCCAAAATAACACTAAATAAACTCCACTGCAGACTAAGCTTGCACAAAAAAGTATCCGTAACAATTTATAAAATTGAATTAATAATGAATAAATCCAAAATAACCTTGCACACAAAATTAACAATTTCCGAAATACAAAAACTGCACAAGTACACCATACATTTTAAAACCTATGAGAAAAGGAAGACCTCATCCCCTGCTTGATGTGTGCCTATGCTCCTGCACAGAACGGCAGGGAAACAGAAGTGGCCTTGCTATGTTGCTAGATACGTGTTTAGCTACTTGGATGCCGGAGTAAGTTATTCAGCAAAACAGCTTCTATCTGGACACTTGAGAAGAGGCGCCGTTGTCAATGAAAAATTAAAAGTAAAAATTGACTGGAGCTCTGGAGTGGCAGGCTGGACTAGTGGACTGCAGGGGCTCAAGCACCTCCGAGCCCTACTGTGGTTCCGCCACTGACTACCCATGTGTTCAGGTTCCAAGCCGATTCCGGTCACCGTCCGCTTTCGATTATTATTTTTTAAATATAAGAATGTTTAAAAAATGTATGCATTTTTGAATTATTTGAATTAATTTATTATATTAAATAGATTGAATTGAAATAAAAAATTAAATGTTCCACATGCCACCATAAGTCCACAATGGGTATATTATTTGAATTACAAAACCAAAACATAAAATTAACAATAAACGACAAATTTCAAAGCAAGAAGCAATTGTGTACTGGCATCAATGAAGCGGGGCCTAGATGGATTGAACCCGAGCCGAATTTTATATAAAGGAAAAATTGATAGTAATAATCTCAACTATTGGTAATCAGTTCATAATAATCTCAACTATCTATTATTTCAGAATAATCCCAACTTTAGGGACCTTCCGCCAATAATGGTCCCACGTTACCGGCAATAAATAAATTTCTATAGTTTCTAAAGTGGATGAGAAGAGATAATAGCAAGTAATCCCTATAAATAATCCCAATTTTTAATTTTTACGCTTGATTTCTATTTGAAATACACTTTTTATCTGGTCATGAACCATTATTGGCGGACGGTCCATATAGTTAGGATTATACAAAAATAATCAATAGTTGGGACACTATTATTGTTAGTGGACCGGCAATAGTTGAGATTATTATTTTCAATTTTTCCTTATATAAATTAATGTATATGGAGATACAAGGACCGCCGAGGCAGAAGAGCTTTGGGGTGGATTGCAAGAGATTACAGTAGTAATTTTATCAACTAAGATTGGAATGCTAGTATTGCAGACTCGTCACCAATATCACATCTACTAAAAATGATAAGTGGGAGAGGGGGTTAGCATGGCTCTTTTACCGTGTGAATAGTCCCTATTGATTAACGCCGTTTGCTGCTCTCCGCCTATGAAGTGAGTCACGATGCTTTCCCAACTCATTTTCCAAATTCCGCTTCTCATTTTTGCTCGTTGTACGCAGGGCTAGGGTTCCGAAGTACATATGGCTTCATGGAGCGATTTCTCCTTATTTTTGGAGATTTGTTGTGTTAGAGATTGTTTTTTTTCTTGGATCTTGGTCGTAATCCCTTTCTAAACTCTGGATTCAGCTTGGAAGGATGATTCACGCACAAAGACCATAAAACGATTTCTAATTCTCGCGAAATGCATTGTTCACGGCTGAGAATGTGACATTCAAGGTAATAATCTCCATCTTCATATGATTCAAGGTTGTTTTGGGACTCGCCATGTCCAGACGCCCCTACCCACTCGTTTTTTCTGGTCAATTAGTTTTATGGGTCCTTGTCTGGCACTGTTCATCTTCGTTCTTGCGCGGTGAACAGTGGGCTGTTCGTAGCTCTGCCCTGCGATGGCGAGGAAGAAACAGAAAGTTGGAGAGTGAAGTGGAAATGACTCCCTAATATAGATTGTCATTTGCTTTGAATTTAGGAAATATAAGTGTTTAGACAGTTGAAACGTCCCAATATTGTGCAGTATTATGGTAGTGAAATTGTAAGAACATTCTCTACTCTCCTGGATTTGCAAATAATGATACACGTCTTTTTGCAGAGGAATCTCCACCTTGTGTGTGTGTGTGCGTGTTAGTTAATCGATGTTTTTTAATATGGTTTAGGTAGATGATCGGTTTTGCATATATTTGGAGTACATCCATCCTGGATCACTTAATAAATATCTTAGAGATTATGAGGGAGCTTTGCCAGAGTCTGTTGTTGGGAATTTTACTCGTCATATTGTTTCTGGAATAGCTTACTTGCACAACACCAAGACAATTCACAGGTATTGTATCACAGCGGTGGTAGGTTGGGTTATAGTTGAAGTACTTTAATTATATAATAAGGTTTTCACACTTTTGGCCACTGCCTGTTTTGTCAACTACACTTTGGTACCTGTCTTTGAATATTTCACTGAATGCCCTATTAATATTGTGACACACACTTCTTGTACCCATCTCTAAATCTTTCCACTTTTAGCCATGACAAATACACTTTTTCTCCGCATTCTTTTGCCACAATAGTTGAATGACTTACAATTACAGTAGTTGGAGCATAAATTTATCACTCGTACATTAGTCTGTGGACTAAAAGTAGAAAAACTTAAAGACCATACAAAAAATGTCCCATAATAATTGGAGGACCAAAATGGGAAAAGTTCAATGATAGGTACTAAGGTCTCATTGCAACAATAGTTTGGAGAATTTAAAGTGGAAAACACTTATTATATAATGAATGATAATAATATCTTATTAGGGATGTTTGAGAAACAGGGACATAAAAGGGGCTTATTTGCTTGTAGATGCATCTGGTGTTGTCAAGCTTGCTGACTTTGGATTGGCAAAACATGTCAGTTCTTGAAACCGTGTATTCTTTATATTAACTATGATGGAATACTTACTTTCCCAGCATGCTCTTTATTTTTTGATTCACACACGTACACACTTACTGACATTGCTCATTTGTTCTATATAGATGCTTTTTTATGCTCTCAAAGTGCGTCCGTGGTATTCACTTCTTCTGTTTTCTTTTCCCATTAAATTAAGAGGTGCAATTCCTTCTTAATTGTATGTAATCTTCTTAGTTGTATGCTTGTGTTTCTATGTTTTCTGATCTGAGATAATATAAAATTTACCTTAAGTTGTTTCATAATATATTTCTCACTCGTTCTCTGAACTCTATTTCAGCTTTCGGGGAAAAAATATTGATCTTTCATTGAAAGGAAGTCCTCATTGGATGGCCCCTGAGGTATTTCAATAAAACGAGTAATCTTGACAGTTCTTATTTTCTTGGACTATGTTAGAACTTTTATTGTGGGTCAAGTTTGTCTGTTAAGTCTTGTTTAATAAAGTAGACTAGTTATACCGGTTATGGTATTAGATTAGTATTAATATGTAATAAATAAGGTAAAGGGAATAAGGCCCAAAAAGGCCTTGGCCCAACTTCCAAGGTTTACCTAAATCGGTAACCTGTACAGCACCTATAAATATGCGCCTTGTGTACAGGTACCGTAAGACATCAATCGATCAATCCACTCTAGCCTTACGCTGCTAAAATTCTTCTCGATATAATAGAAACACGATCTCAAAGTTCTCGATAGCTCATAAATCATTCTGTGAGATCGTTCCTTTCAGTTATTCGATGATATCCATCTAGCTGTGAGTGTTAGTCTGCATAAACTGGGACCAACAACTGGTATCAGAGCCTGCTCGAGTGTGATCGTCGAAGAAAAGTTTTCGAAGCTTCTCTGTTTTCATACTTTTCGATATATTTCTTTGTAATCACTGTAATCCTGTTTCTGATCGATAAACTGTAAAAGTTATACCATTGGATTCGCCATTCAGAAACGAACCAAGGGTATATCTTACTTTTCGATTTCAGTAGATTCGGTATTTTTGATTTCTCGATAGTATGAGTTCGAAAAGCAGGGTTCTCGACATTTAAGCAGGTTTTTCAGGACGAAAACTATACAGGAAGACTCTCGAGATCGAAAACTTCACAGAAAAGTTGTTTAAACTGTTTAAGTCTGAACTTTTGATTTGCAGGATTTCGATACTACGTTCTCGATACAAGTTCTCGAACTGAGTTCTCGAGATTGTTTTCTCGATACTTAGTTCTCGATACTAAATATCTAAAAACTCTGTTTTTTCGAATTGCGGGTTCTCGACACAGCTTCTCGACACTCAGTTCTCGAAACTAAGTTCTCGAACTTAGCTTCTCGATACTGAAGTTCTCGATACAGCTTCTCGAATCCAGCTTCTCGATAAACAGGTTCTCGATATTCACTATCGAAAACTGGTTCTCGATAGAACTTCTCGAACCCTAGTTCTCGAACTTTTTCTTGAATTAGGTTTTCGACATTCTGCATCTTAAATTTTTTTCTAATCAAAACACTCGATCGATCTTTTAAGGCTCAATCAGCAAAGATGGAAGCATTGGCACTTGGAAATGAGAACAGACCCCCAATCTTGAGAAGAGGAGAATATCAGATGTGGAAAACAAGGTTCTTAAACTTTCTGGAAGGAAAGGACAACTCTTCTGCAATGCTGGAATCGCTTACTGAAGGACCAGCACAAATTTGGGTAGATGTGACAACAGATGGTGTGAACAATCCACCCGTTGCTGTTGAAAGAAGGTTGAAAGCAAAGTCTGAGTACACTGAAGCAGACAGGCTAAGAGTCAAAGCAGATCTAATGGCTAAAACGTACCTGCTCCAAACTATTCCCAATGACATATACATATTGATTGATAGCATGGAGACAGCTAAGGAGATGTGGGATGAAATTAAAAAACTGATGATTGGAACTGATTTGGGGATAAAGACAAAGAAGGCAAACATCCTGACTGCCTATGATGGATTTAAAGCTCTACCTGGTGAGGCGCTCCATGAAACATACAACAGATTTGTACAACTGATCAATGAGATGCGAAAGATCAAGGTTGTCAAATCAAACATGGAAATGAACATACGTTTCTTGTCGAGCCTGCCACCAGAATGGAGAAGAACTGTGAAGAACCTACGTCAACATCTGGATTTGGATGAACTTGATCTGTGTACTGTGCATGAGCACCTTCAACAGTTTGTGAATGACACTGCTGACATGGAAGGAAACTACTCTGGAAATCCATTAGCACTAATGATGGAAGCTCAACCCAAGAGTTCGTCCAAAGCTCAGAAGAAAAAGAAGGCAGTTGTTGTGATGTCTGAAGAAGAAGAAAGTGAGGAGGAAGTGGATGTCGAGTCAGAACTGGCCGAACTGCAAAAGAAAATGGCCCTGCTGACTAATCAATTTAATAAACGATTTCCAAAGAAAGGTAACTCATCAAACAAACTCCGGACCTCCTCTGCCAACTACAAATCAAAGGGCAATGATCAGAACTCTTCCAGTAGAGCGGTTGCAACTGAAGACCCTCCTAAATGCTTCAATTGTGGAAAAGCTGGACATGTCATCAAAGACTGCCGCTTGCCAAGGAAGAGGGACTTTAACTATTACAAGCAGAAGATGCTATGGAACAAACAGAAGATGTTCATGGCCAAGCAAGACGATGATAGTGCTGCAACACTCACTGAGGGAGATCCATGGAAGGAAGAGAGTTCTGACGATGAAGAAGGAGAAAACTTAGCCCTAATGGCCATTGTTGAGAAGGAAGAAGAAGAAAAAGGTGATGTTGCGATCCCCGGTGGAAGTTCAAGCTCCAATCACACTGTAAGTACTCCTAAACCGTCTTGCTCTTGCACATGCAAAGTTCATTCTTTTCAAGAAAAGGATAACACCATAAAGGAGTTAAAAGACAGGTTAGATCATAATTACAAGAATCTACTCACAAAGCTTGACAGAATCACTTCCTTAAGCATACAACTGGATAATGAAAAGGATATGGTGAAAAAGCGAAATTCCGAAGTAGAAATACTTACACAGAAAGTCGCTGAACTCACTAGACAGTTAAGTGAATCAGAAGCAGAACGAAATTGTGAGACAGCTAGAAAGGAGATGCTATTAAATAGAGTCAGCATTCTTTACAAAAAAATCAAAGAATTAGAAGATTTAATTGCCAAAAGAGGACAGTCAGAACAAACAATTTTTCTAAATCAAAACAAGGACACTCGTTTCTATAACTCTAAAGAAGGTCTTGGCATCACAAACCCCCGTAATTTGAAAAAGATCAATTGCCGTCAGCTTTATGATATCAATTACATGGGTTTGGGATTGACCAAGTTGATGCTATTTGTCGGAGCAAAAGAAACTGCTGAAGAAGAAGAGACAAAGAGATCAAATCCTTCTAAAGCTGAAGTTCCGTTCAGTTATGACTCTTTAAACGAAAGCTATGCCACAAAAGAACCTATTTTTTCACATGATGAGAGTGTTAGTCCTTATCCTTCTGAGACAGAAGTTGTGTCAGATCCAGAACCTCCTTCAACCTCTAATTCAGAAAAGGAAGAAGAACCCTATATCCCTCCACTGATAAGAAAATTTGAAAAACTTCACATTACTTTAGAAGAACAAAGAAAAGGCTTTGAAGAAGAAAGAAAAAGCTTTGAAAGTGAAAGGGATCGGTTGTTAAATGAACTAACTCTTTTGAAAGAAGGTTCTCGATCCAACACAACTTCTCAATCATCTAGTGATACTGATGCTTCTCAACGAAATTTGAACAACTCTGAATTTTTCCAAAACCACCCACTCACTCCAAGTCTCCTTTGAAAACAGGGAATGAAGTAAGTAAGAGATTGGAGAGGAGACGTGAGTGGAGAAAGAAGAGAGAAGAAATAGCTGAAGGGAAGAAGAAGATGTTTTTCGAAAATAAGAAGTCATGTTCAAATGCTGTTTTCTATTCAAATAAGCGTAGATCTACTTCTATGTCACAGTCTTGTAGTTCTACTTCAGTCTCGTGTCCCGAGCTGAATGAATCTAATTTCACTTCTGATCCATTTTATTTCAATAAGAAGTCGTATGCTCCTAAGTTAGGAAATGCATGTTTTAATGATTCTGATCATAAATGTGTTGTGAATTCTGTTCGTGAGAGAAAACAGAAAGAGCACAAACAAAAGAAACAATCTGAGAATAGAGCGGTAGAGGGTATTTATAATTTTCAAAATTTGAAATATCCTCTTAAAGTTCATTCAAAGAAACACCTACAAAGACTCTCTAAGGAAGCAATTTTAAAACCTTATCTCACGAACCAGTCGTTCACACACAGAAACAATGACTCTGTCTTCTCTGCTCCTAAAATCAAACAAAAATGGATACCAAAAGCTGAGATCGAAAGACAAAAACCACTGTCTGAAAAGGCTGCTGACCTTGGATCAAAGCTGAAAGAAAAATTCAAAAAGATATTCTCAATTGATAAGGAAGGACCCATCCTGCGGTGGGTACCTAAAAGTCCTTAATCTGTTTTGCAGGACGGTCATGTGTGGCACTTAGATTCAGGCTGCTCAACCCACATGACCGGAATAAAAGAGCTGTTGAGCAATTACACCAAATGCTACGGAGGAAATGTGAGATTTGGAAACAACGCGGCCTCTCCAATCCTAGGATATGGGGATGTCATCTGTGCAAGTGTCACCATAAAGGCTGTCTCATACGTGAAAGGACTGAAGCATAATCTACTAAGCATTGGACAGTTTTGTGATAGTGGCATGGAAGTGAAGTTTATAGCTAGACAATGTTGTGTGCTGGACAGGTTTGGGAAGGTATTATTGACCTGCACAAGAACTTCCAACCTGTACACCATTGATCTGAAGAGCGTACAATTACCTTCTTCCATCTGCCTGCTGTCCAAAGCTTCCTCTGAACAAAACAGTCTATGGCACAGACGCCTTTCTCATCTCAACTTCAAATATCTCACAACTCTATCCTCCAAGAAACTTGTGAAAGGGCTGCCTCCTTTGAAGACTTCCGCTGACACTCATTGTGATGCCTGCAGACTAGGCAAAATGAAAAGGAGCTCTCACAAGTTAAAATCTGTTCCATCCTCCTCCCGACTGCTGCAACTACTTCACATGGATCTGTGTGGACCGATGAGAGTCCAAAGTATCAATGGACGCAAATATACACTGGTCATTGTGGATGACTTCTCTCGGTACACATGGACCAAATTTCTGAGGACAAAAGATGAAACAGCTGCAACCATCATAACCTTCATCAGGACGATCCAAAATTTTCTACAAAAGAATGTGGAGATCATCAGAACAGATAATGGTACCGAGTTCAAGAATCAGTCTCTTGCTGATTTCTATGGAACTCAGGGTATCACACAGCAATTCTCTGCAGCAAAGACACCACAACAGAACGGGGTCGTTGAAAGAAAGAATAGAACTCTTGTTGAAGCAGCACGCACCATGCTCATTCAATCAAAGCTTCCCCATTTCATGTGGACTGAAGCAATCAACACGGCGTGCTTCACTCAGAACAGAACATCAATTCACAAACGCTTCAACAAGACCCCCTATGAAATACTTTTCAACAGAACACCTGACATCTCATTCTTCAGAGTGTTTGGCTGCAAGTGCTTTATTCTAAATGACAGAAATGAAAGAAGCAAGATGGATCCGAAAGCCATCGAAGGGGTATTCATTGGGTACTCCACGCAATCAAAGGCGTATCGGGTCTATCTACGTGATCGCAGAACAGTCATTGAGAGTGTCAACGTTGCATTCTATGAAATGGCTGACTTTGCTTCTGAACATTTCTTGATAGAACACACACTCTCTGATCAAAGGAAGCAACCTGATGGAGCTGAAGCAACAAAGCAAACAACAGCTGACAGTGCAATTCTCGACTCTCTCTTTGAACATTTCTATGAGAATGCACGCACTGCCAACCAACAATTACCAACAGAAGCTGCTCAACCACCATTTATGCCTGACCTCAGTGGGGAAGAAGCTGACTCACCTCATGCATCAGATCACGAAGATACTGAGGATCATGGCACGACAGCAACACAAGCAACTTCACCAGCACAAGTTTCAGAAATACCAGAAATACCAGCTCAAGCAGCTACAGAACCTGCATCGACCCCTGTGCACTCCACTCCCCAACAAACCACATCTACTACTTTTGAGGACCCGGATCACCCCATCATAACTCCAATCCCTCTAACTCATGAGCGGAAATGGACGAAGGCACATCCTGCAGAACAAATTATTGGAGATCCGAGTCGTGGAGTTTGCACAAGAACGGCTACAGCAAATGAATGTCTCTTCTCTTGCTTCATCAGCCAATCTGAGCCAACCAAAGTTTCTGAAGCTCTAGCTGATCCAGATTGGGTGATAGCAATGCAGGAGGAGATCAATCAGTTTGAAAGATTAGATGTATGGACCTTGGTGCCAAGACCCCCTAAGAAAACAATAATTGGCACTAAGTGGGTCTTCAAGAACAAGAAGGATGAAGACGGTGTGATTATAAGGAACAAAGCCCGACTGGTTGCAAAAGGGTACAACCAACAAGAAGGAATTGACTATGATGAAACCTTTGCACCAGTGGCCAGAATTGAAGCAATCAGGTTGTTCCTTGCTTATGCTGCTCATAAGAGTTTCACCGTCTATCAAATGGATGTAAAGACTGCGTTTCTGAATGGAGAACTGAAAGAAGAAGTTTACGTGGCACAACCAGAAGGCTTTGTTGATCCTGAACGCCCACATTATGTCTACAAGTTGAAGAAAGCTCTGTATGGACTAAAACAGGCACCGAGAGCCTGGTATGATGCACTATCTGATTTTCTTGTACAATCAGGCTACTCGAAGGGAAAGATAGATCCAACTCTTTTCATCAAGCGAGAGAACAGTGACATCATGTTGATACAAATCTATGTAGATGACATCATATTCGCCTCGTCCAATCCGAACTTCTGCGAAGAATTCAGCAACTTGATGCACACTGAGTTTGAAATGAGTATGATGGGAGAGTTGAACTTCTTTCTAGGGCTACAGATCAAGCAAACGCCAGACGGAATTTTCATCAGCCAGTCAAAGTACATCCATGAAATGCTCAAGAGATTCAAGATGGACAGCAAGTCAACCATGAAAACCCCCATGTCTCCCTCACAAAAGCTCGACTCTGACCCTTCCGGGACTTCAGTCGATGCTACCAACTATCGGGCTATCATCGGTTCCTTGCTGTACCTGACATCTAGTAGACCGGATATTGTTTTTGCAACTTGTCTGTGCGCTCGCTTTCAAGCAGATCCAAAGGAATCACATCTGAATGCAGTAAAGAGAATCCTGAGATACCTGAAAGGAACAGTCAACTTAGGACTTTGGTATCCCAAGGACACGGGTTTTGACCTTGTTGGTTACTCAGATGCTGATTTCGCGGGTTGCAAGCTAGACAGAAAGAGTACATCCGGTGGTGCTCAATTTCTGGGAGAGAAGCTAGTCTGTTGGTCCTCCAAGAAGCAGAACTGCGTGTCAACTTCTACAGCCGAGGCAGAATACGTTGCGGCTGCTAGTTGCTGTTCACAAATCCTATGGATGAGAACACAACTCCGAGACTACGGCTTCTTATTCAACCATATTCCCATCTACAGTGACTCCCAGAGTGCAATCGCCATAACTAGCAACCCTGTTCATCACTCACGCACCAAGCACATCGATCTGCGCTATCACTTCATCAAGGACCATGTGGAGAAGGGAGATGTTGATTTGTACTTTGTTAGCACCGAGCTTCAACTGGCTGACATATTTACTAAGGCATTGGATGAAAAGAGATTCCAGTTCCTAGTATCTAAGTTAGGCATGTTGAACTTCGATCCTATGTAATTGTGTTATCTACATGGTCTGAATAAAATGTGTGTGTGTGTGGTGTGCGTTGCATGTGTTGAGGGGGGGGAAAAGGGAGAAAATAAAAGAGGGAAGAATACTTTGAGGGGGAGAAAAGAAGAAAATCAGAAAAAGAGTGTGTGTGTGTGTGTGTTTTTCATTTTTTTTTTTCCTTTTTTCATGTACTGTTCGAGGGGGAGTTCAATCTTCACACATAAATAAATTTTCTTTGGGGCCCAAAATCATTTTCTAACAAAGACAGGGCCCAGCTCTACTTCTGGGCCCAGTATACTTCTCGAAAGGCCCATGTTTCCGCGTATAAAAGGCACCTCGAGAACTAGAGAACTCATTTTCTCGCATCCTCAGTTCTCGAAGTCCAGATCTAAAGCTTTCTCGCAAAACGCACTCTCTCTCGAACTCACTCTTCTCGAATCAGACAAAAGGTAGTAATTTGGTTCTCGAATGAACTTCAAATGGTTTTCGCATGTAATAAAACGGTTCTCGATATCAAACCAAGATTTTTTTCAAAAAATTGAATATCGAGAACTCCTTTTTCTCGAACCGAAAGTTTGGAATCGAAAAGTGGTTATTGATTTTCATTATGATAATGTGAAATTGCAGGTGGTTCTCGACATATCTTCTGAGTGCGAACTCGAGAAATCAATTTTCTCGATGTTTAGAACTCGAGATCAACTTCTCGATACTTTGAATTTCGAGGAACGGTTTTCGATGTTAAACCTCGAAAAGATACTTTTCGATGTTTAATACCGAGAACCTACTTCTCGAAGTTGGAAATACCGAGAAGAGGTTCTCGATACTTAAACTCGAGAAGATGGTTCTCGATGTTCAAATCTCGAGAAGGACTTTTCGATACTTCCATATCAAGAACCAAGTTCTCGATATTTGAGTATCGAGAAGAGCTTCTCGGTATTTAAACCTCGAGAACCTACTTCTCGATGTTCAAACCTCGAGAAGTTGGTTCTCGTGGTTTACACTTAGAATAATTTCGATGTCCCACCTGTACACACCTGATCTGAAAAATTGCAAACACAAAAAAAAAAAAAAAAAAAATCAAATGAACATTTGTGCTGACCCAATTCTCTCAATTAACAATGTCAGGAACAGACAAAACTGCACAACCAAGCAATGTAGTGTACCCGAAGGAGAAATGGGTCCCACTGTACGACAACAACTTTCAACTGGACCTAAAACTTTTCAAATGCCAGGATCCAGTGATACTCTCGATCTTACAGAAGCATTACCTCTGGCGTGCATTTAATGAAGCCAAACCAGTGCCAGAGGTGTATCTACAACAGTTCTGGGGCATGATGCACACAGCCTCAGAAAAGGACAGGTCAAAAATCATGACCAAGCTGAACGACAAGAGAGTGGTACTCACACCCTCCACAATCAGGGAGACACTGAAGCTCCCGGTCCTACAGAACTACGTACCCCTGCCTACCAATGAAGAACTAATCAAGGGGATGAAAAATCTTGGATACGACAGCCCACTGCCTCTGCTGTCAAACTTCACAATCTCCAACCTGCCCCACCCATGGAAGAGTCTGTTCGGCCTGGTCAACAAATGCTTGTCTCCTAAGCACGCCGGACATGACAAGTGCAACAAGCAGATCCTACAAATCTTCCATGGGATCACATATGACAAGCAGTACGACATGGCCCAGCTCTTCTGGACAGAGCTGATGGACCAGGTCAAGATGAAGGAGAACAACAAGGGAAGCACAATTCCCTACGCTCGGTGGCTGGCGCTGATGATCCACAACATGTTAGAAGCCACCCCCACAATCCCTAAGCGCAAGGAAGACAAGCACTTCACCGCCCCAAAGCTCAAGTACTTTCAAAGAGACAGCAACAAGGCTGAAGCACTGCCTATCCCGGACTCTCTACTTGACCTTGCAAATCCGAGGGATAAAGCAGTCATCGACTACAAAGAGTCGCTGAAGAGAACGGTCCCTATGGTTCAGCAAAACCCAGCTGGACCTTCCCCGGGAACCAAGCCGAGAGCAGGTGAGGGTAAGAAGAAGAGAGCCCCGCCACAGAAACCAGTGGCAACCCGGCCCAATGATGATCAATCTGCTAACTCTTCCGAGAGGACCCAGACTGCTGAGGGCCACCCTATCAATGCTGAGGACACTGCCGATGAACCATCAAGCCAGGCCCCTTCTAATAAGGCTGGTGGTGAGGCCTCCGATAGCATGGCCAAGGGAAAGGAGAGGAATGATGATGATGATAATGCAGATGATGATGATGACATGGAGGGAGTCCTGATCAGCAACAGGAAAAGAGCCGGAAAGAGAGCCATTCCGATAGACTCCGACTCCTCATCGGACAATGAAGAGGCTGCTCACATGTCCCGACCACTTAAGGGCATTGTCATCAGTGAGCAGCGCTCCAAACACAACAGCGACAAATCTGCATCATCACAGCCTAAGAAGAGGCTCAGAAAGAAAAGTGCAGTGGAGGAGGAGCTGGCACTATACGATGACTGTGACACCTTCGTCACTATAGACCGAACCACGCCCCTAGGAGCAGAAGCTGACCTTGTCAGTTCCCGGGTAGAAGTCGCAGCATCTGGTTCAACTGCGCATGCACAGCCATCTCCCATCCACTCTCCAGTCTCCCAACAGACTGAAGTTTCAATAACTCAAGGGGAGCTTACACCGACCTCACTGATTCCTTCCGAATCTGCTGAGAGACTTAGTGGTCAACAGCCCCGGACCACTACCCCCATCCGTTCTATCACATCGAGTCTAGGTGTCACCATTCCTACATTTTCACATTTTTCTAGGACACCTACACTATTCACTGCACATACAGGTGCACTCACCCTGAATGCAACGACCGGAGCGCAAACTATGATGGTCGGAAGCCCTGCTACGCCAACAATGCCTCGATCATTGAACGCAGGCCACACATCAGCCATCTTCACTGATGCTGTGACAACAGTTACAACCCCTGTAACTGGAACCATTATCCCCGAAGACATTCTCGTATATCTGAATAGCTTTCTAGAGTCTACCATTAAGCCATGGGTGCATGAAGCAATAACCGCTAATGCACAAGACTCTGGAAGTACCCCAGTTGTTCAGAATATACCATCCAAACCCCAGACAACACAGCCCCCAACCATTTCCATACCTATTTCCACACCTTTAGCCATAGAAAACCAACAACCATCCACATCAAGGGGAACCCAGGATACAGAACTAGTATTCTCTCCTACAACGACCAAACCCAACCTAACCACCGTACCCTTCGAGGATCTTGTAGCTGAGATCTACGACCGTATACTAGACGTGGAAGAAGACAACCTCACCCCTCTTCAAAAAGCCCTTCTCCATGCTCTAGATACACAGAACACATGCCGTGACAGTCTCCGTGGCGCTAAACGTTCACATGAGGATCCTGATGATTCGGATTCTCATGAGGGGGAGAACAAGCGCCCGCGGATACTTGAGCATGTTGCTTCTACCAGCCAACCCTCAAAGCCAAACCAACCCTCCACCTCTACCAATGAGCAACCCACTACTTCAGCCAGCCATAAATCCCTAGCCACTCTCTCTAGCATGGTCGAGCTAGACATAACATCCCGAGGTGCATCTCCTATAGATGTTAACCAAGGACGGAATGGAAGTCCTGATGATGCTACCACGAGTACATCTTCTTACTCAAGCCATCAGTTAGAACCTAGTTCGAAACTGATGTCAACGGGCAATCCTGAGGATCCCGATGTTTCACTTTCTCAGCCAAGGGAGGATTGGCCGCATGTAACGAAGTATAGAGGTCTGGTCTCTGCGCAAGAGCATCGTGTTGAGATAATTGAGGATCCCTGCAAGTCTCACCAGGATCCCGATGCTACGCCAGACATATCGCCACAGCAGCAGCAGGATCCCTCCAGCTACTACAATGATCAAATGCACAATGAACTTGAGGAAATGCTGGTGCACAACAAATGGTCTGAACTCTGGGCAGATGTAGATGAATCACAGCGAAGAGCATATCTCAGAGATCTCTTAGTCAACTGTGCTACTGATGTGATTCTACTTGATCAAGATGAACTCAAGGAGGGAGAGAACTATGAGACACCACCCAAGGAACTTGAGTCAATCATTAGACAAACAGCGGCTCAAATGCCCAGAAATGAGAAGCCCTGGGAAAAGATCGACATCAACGCCCCCTTTCAAGAAGAAATCAGAGAAAACATCTGGCGAAAAGAGGATAAGGTCAGAGAACTGGATGAACTGAAGATCTGTGGTCTTAACCATCTACGAGGACAAAACAAGGGCGGACAGCTATTTCTACTTAGTCATCACTATATGGGAAAACAGAGAGAAGTCTGGCAACACGAACTTCAAACAGCCAAGGACCCTATCTGGGCTGTTCTCAATGTGGCTGAAACCAACTTTCAAGATATCAAACTCTCTGTTTACCATCTTCAGCGCTCTGACGGAACGGTATTCACGTGCAAGGAAAATGATCTCTACATGCTAAAGATGGACGACATCTATCAGATGTATCTTGCATTCCAGGAAATTCCAGGCATTCGTGACAAAATTACACAAGATGGGCTGGATGCACTCAAGCGGTTTATGATCAGACAAATCAAATTCTTTGCCTCTCATGATCTTCAGATGGCTCTTGAAACAAACATGCCAAAGACGAATCTCACAAGACCAAAGCTGTATGGACAAGAATTGGAGGACTTTCCTGAGTATTACATCTTTGATAGTCCAATCACGCTTATCTATCTGAATCACAATGGCGAGAAACGTATGCTATTCATTGATGAAATTAACAAGTACTGTGACGGAACCCTGAAGATTGTGAAAGAGAAGCTACAACCGATCAGAGAAGCATTTAAAGAAAGACAGCAAAAGTATGCAAATGCCACAGATGCTGAATTAAAAGAGGCACACAGAATTGACAGCATCCTACAGGCCATCGAAAAGCAACTGGATAAAAGAAATTCACTCAGGAGCTATGAGCACGCGCTAAACCTCAGAAAGAACTATTACAAAGCTCAGAAGTGAAGAAACCCAGCAAGACGGCACTTGACCACAAAGGGGGAGATTGTTAGAACTTTTATTGTGGGTCAAGTTTGTCTGTTAAGTCTTGTTTAATAAAGTAGACTAGTTATACCGGTTATGGTATTAGATTAGTATTAATATGTAATAAATAAGGTAAAGGGAATAAGGCCCAAAAAGGCCTTGGCCCAACTTCCAAGGTTTACCTAAATCGGTAACCTGTACAGCGCCTATAAATATGCGCCTTGTGTACAGGTACCGTAAGACATCAATCGATCAATCCACTCTAGCCTTACGCTGCTAAAATTCTTCTCGATATAATAGAAACACGATCTCAAAGTTCTCGATAGCTCATAAATCATTCTGTGAGATCGTTCATTTCAGTTATTCGATGATATCCATCTAGCTGTGAGTGTTAGTCTGCATAAACTGGGACCAACAGACTACTTTAGCAGGACACATATATATGTATACACATGTGCCAGGTGATGCAGGCAGTGTTAAGGAAAGATGATAATCCATATCTTGCACTTGCAGTCGATATATGGAGCTTGTACGTGCATGTGTAGTGATAATAATCAGGTATGTACCTTATATGAGAATTTTATGGGGCTGGTTTTTAATCACTTCTCTTCCTCATCATTTGATACATATGTTTATTGGTCTTTTTAGGGGAAAGTACACTCTTCCTACCACACCCCTGATGGTGCAAAACCACTATATCTTCATATTTCCGCTGCAGCACATGTAATTGGCTCGTCTTCTGTAATTCATTTGCGATTCTTTTCATGAAATGCCACCTAAGCTAATACATTCTGAGCACAAACATCATATTAAGTGTATTTCCTTTTCATTGTTCTTCTACTCTAAGAAAGGCTCTCATTTTCTTTCTTCATTTGTATTTTAATGAATAATTTAAATTTGTTTCAATTATTGTTGCACTATTATTATTTTAATCTCAGGATCTAACATTTGCATGATCTACTTATCAGAAACTGATTCTGATGTATATGAATTGTTATATGACCAATTAGTTAGAAACAACCTCGCTTATGAGAGGAAATATTATAGAAGGAAACTGATTCTGATGTATATGAATTGTTATATGACCAATTGTTATATGACCAATTAGTTAGAAACAACCTCGCTTGGAGAGGATCAAAGTACTTGACAATGCATCCTCGCTTATGAAGGAAATATTGAAAGAGGGTTCATCAAACAATGGGTTGAAGGTTTTATTCTCTTAATGTTAATGAAAGTGGTAAACACTAGGGTAATTGCACTGATTAATTTAATATATTGTCTGTCAAATTGCTATCACGCTAATTTAGTATAATGTCCATAAAATAAAAAATGTTAATTTGTTTTTTTCTCGGTCTTAAAATAATTACAAGATTCTAAATATGAATAGAAGGTATCATACTTCTTTTGTTAACCACTAACACTTTTTTTTTATTTTGTACAGAAGCCATCAAAGTAGACGGTGTCGTTATTTTGCTGTATTTTGATCCAGCTCTAACTCTCATGTCATCTGCAGGGAAAATGAAGTTGGAGCTAAAGAAAATCAGAGATTAACTTAGAATGACAGAATGTTATTGTGGCTGTGCTCGTGTTCAGGGTAAATGTTTCTGAATTATGGTTTTTGTTAACTCTCACCGCGTTTAAACTAAAAGTGAAATGCTTTTAAAACTCTAGAACCAAATTGGAAGAATGTCATAATGTGTTCACAGTTCTTGAATTTATCTCCTTAGGGTGATACCTTACATGTTTCTTGAATAGGCAGGCCAACATATGAGTTTCCCCATCCATTAGCTCGTGTGCGGTGTGCCCCAAAGTGCTGGATATTGGGTAAGCTTCCAGTGTTTTTTAATAAAACTATTTTTTTATCTAATAAAATATCACTACATAATCAACTTTTCTTATATGGTGGTGGACTTGCTGATATGGTGGGGCATAAGAAGTTATATTAATGACCTCAGACATATTTAATACATACCATGGTTCCATAGAGGTACAGTATCTCTCTGCCTTGCTATATAAAAATGAAGCACTCTAGATGTCCGTGAATTTGTCTCATTGAGTTCTTTCTTTGGTACAATTTCTTTTCCTTCACTCCCCCCAACTTGTATTTTCTTTTAAGTTCTACTGATATTGACTTTGCTTCCGCTTCAATTTTTTTATTCTGAAAAATGAATGGACATCAAATGGTTGTGTAAAATGTTTTTTCCTTTTTTGCCCTCAAACTCACTTTAGTCTTTTATCCAAATAAATTTAATCACATGATAAAATTGACAGAATTATATAAATATCAGCCTACTAGCTTAAATGGCATTACAAACATGGCCTTAAACATAATATCTTGGTAAAAGATATCGTATAGTAACTTCTTTTTATAATAAAGTGACATACTTGATGATTTTGTGGTTGCTGCTTTTTGAAGTTTGTGATTGATGAAAGCTTGATCTTGAAAAGTGAATGCTTTGCACTATTTGCATAATGAATCCTTTGTGATGAGCTTTTAATCTAATAAATATTTTGTATTATAGAAGGACAAAAAAGAGACGAGTTAAAAAGAAAACTAAAGAAAAGGGAGGAGAAGCACACAGATTACAAATGTTGGAGCAAGGGTCAAAATACTGGACGAAGAAAGAGGGTAGGGGAAATAAATGGAAAAGAAAAAGAGATAAAAATTTGACATGTGGGTCGCCTTCGCATGTAACTTGTGTAACCGGTTGTTTAGAGTCAAAAGTGTGAGTGTTTTTTTGAAGTTATAGTGCTTGATTGGGTGTTCTTTTAGTATGAGAGGTTAAGTGACTTTTCGAGTATAGTAGAGGGGCCAACTTGATAGTATTCCCCTTTTCATATATGTTCATTTATAGCTGAATAATGCTCATCTTTTTCGCCCACTTGGAGCTTGGATATAATCTTATTGGACCTGATGGTTCAAAGACATTAGCTGAAACTCTTAAGTTTCATGGGAATGTGAAAGATCTCATGCTTGGTTGGTGTCAGGTATAATCCATTGATAACATTTTGTAATTTACCATCCTTGTAAATTCAACTGCTCTTATATGATGATGATGATGATGATGATGAGTTGATGATGAGTTTCTTGCCTCCATGTACAGATAGGGGCCAAGGGTACAGAGTACATTGCAGATATGTTGAAATGCAATGGTACCATATCAAGTCTTGACTTGCGGGCGAATGGACTAAGAGATGAGGTTGGTTACTCCAATACTCCTGTATATTTTATTACTCCCTGTCCCTCAAGACTTCCTGAATATGATTGGCAGTTTGGCACAAAGGTTCAGGAAACGAAATTTATTCAAAAGAGAAGTAAACAATATGAACCACAAATTTCATTCCTTAAAAGGAAGTAAATGAGGTCTTTTGAGGTTGACAAAGTTTCATTAATCACTTAGAATTGCCCTCATCTTCTATGTTTGTCAAACTCTATTTTTTTATACCATGCTACTATATTGGTCTATGTTGATTGGTGCAATTTGAAAGGCGACCTGCTTATACTTCTATTAGACCTTCTTTTAAAATGACTTGTATAAGTATAAAATGTTTGTAGTTGTTGATATTATTCATTACAATTTCAGTGTGAAAGAAGCATTAATCTTTTTCATTTGCACCCAGAAAATGAATACTGGTATTTCATGTTAAAACAACCTCTAGAGGATGCACTTTTCGCCAAGTTTGCAGGTATTATTAAGTTTTTCCCATTAGATTTTATGTTTATCATCAACTCATATTACCTGATTTTGTATGTAACTACAAAATGGCTACAAGCCAAAATTTATGTTCTTGATTTGTTCTTGTTTATTCCTGTACTCTGGTTTGTAGACTTTTTAAGATATATTTATACTTTTTGAGTGAAGTCTGACTGCTTACACTTGATATATATATATAATTCATTTAAGTTTTATAAAATGTCAATTACATGGATGTTTGTTATATTATAGTTGTGTTTTAAACTTTCTCAAAGTATGAACTAGCATCTGGGTAAAGCTATCTGTGGAAAGGTGACTTAGGGCGAGATTTGAAGAAAATTTCTAGCTCTAGAAAAACATTATTTGGATATCACTGAAGACCATTTGATTTTCATTCCTATTGCTTAAGGAAAATTACACTTAGAACGTATATGCTAATTTTGATTTCAAAATCTTTTATAAAATTGAGTTTCCTTTTCACATGTGATTGTTGAGTTAACTAGAGACTAAATCTACTTTTTCAAATAATGTTTCTGGGGTTAATCTTAGGTTACTTGTCATACTTAAGTTTTAGAATAAAATGAGATTCAAAATACTTGCATTTTTTATTCCAAGGTCTCTTCTTTCCCGGTGTGGTTAATATTACCGGGTTGCATGATCAGTTCTATTAAATTGGTTTACCAAGTTACCATGCTTCCTCTTTGATTTGTAGTCGAGTTTGTTGTTACTGTGCACTCTGCTGTATGCCTATACCACACCTCCCATGCATGAAGATATTCTATGTCTGTTCTTTTATATGTGTGCCAGCGAGAGCTTCAAAAGTCTTGTTTTCCACTCTTAGTCATCGTTATCAAGTTTGGTTGTTCTTGACGGTTTAACTTCCAATATTCAAAACAACAAAGGTGTGAGTCTTTCTTAATTAGTTGGGTGCTACAATTCAAAGGGTGCATTGAAAATTCATTACAGGACACATGATGAACCCTTTTTTCTTGGAGTGAAGATCATCTTACATCAGGTTGAAGAGGATTTAGAAATACATCTTGCTACAGCTTAGTGTTTTTCAAGCATGGTCATGGTAGAGTGATTATGCTTGTCATTTCAAGCAAAGTGTAGAGATCAACACAAAGAACCGTTTTGCTTTAGTGTCGTTTAACATGCGTAATTGTCGATGCAATTTTGGTTGTTGCTATTCTCTTTGCTTTAACTTTGTTATGTTACTTCCGTTAAGAGCCATTTTGATGCTCTTTACATTGAACATTTTGCTTCCGTTGGGCACTGCATAAGCACAACTTAAAATGTACTTCGTATCAAATTCATGGACCATATTAATCACATCTTTAGAATATTTTGGATTTTGATTGTTTTTGCACAGTTTTATTGCTTGGTTTCCAATGTTGGGCACGGGATTTCGCGCAACGCGCGATGCCATGCTAGTAAGCTATTATATTGGGGTAAGAGAGGTGGCAGTTTGGGTTAACAAGCAAGGCAGGGAGCGTGTGATTTGTTGGGACTGACGTGCAGGTTGTTACATCAAGACTGGAATATGAGTTGGGTGACTCATAATTTAAAATTATGTTTAAAGATGCTACACAAATTCTTTACAATGAAGCTAGTTTTACTTCCTGAAATTGTAGTTATGTGTGTATCAAGTTATTTAGATTGATGTTAATATTCTCAAGTTAAACCACACTCAAACTGAAAAACTTTTCGAATGTAGAGTGCTAAGTCACATTTGACCAACATAAAGCCAATGTGGCCCTATTCAGCCCCCCAAATTGTCTTCATCCGTTCTATTAGAGGCATATATCTCTCATTTGGTTCTTTTGTAGTAAACGATAAGTCTTTGGTGTCAATCAACCCCACAACTCCACAACGAGATTTTATAAGTTCTCAATCAGTATGGGTTGAAATGTTGAATTGACTATACTAGTAACCGTTTGAGGTCGACAACAAACAATATGATCAATGTAGTTAGGAACAACAATTTATGCTGCCCAATGCAAGCATAATCCTCCTCATAGCAATTCCAATGAGTTCGATGCTTATGCAATTTGTAGTTCATTTAGTACTAGGGGAGAAGTAAATATTCTGATATATGCCTTGATCAAATGAAAATTAATCACACGCGTAAGTTAAAACAATTTGTTTCATTATTGTACTCGTAACTAAAAGAATTGTGATATTGGTTGCATAAGCATATACTCCGTATGATCCATTAAATATGTTTACATTCATCGACAATTATTACGTTACAAGAAAGTTTCCATTTTCGGTCTTTTGAGCAGGCTTTTTTATCTCTTTTTTTTTGTGTGATTATTAGTGATGAAGTGAGCCTAATGAAGATAGTATTGACCACATTTCCAATTGTGTGATCGTTGTTTGGAGTCACTTTGCACACCTTCCATGCACATTAGGGCCTGTCATCCCAGGTTGTAGTATACGGAGTATATAGTAATGGTTGTTGAAGCACCAAATAAAGAATATGATGTTAATTATTGCTATGGTACCTCCCATTATCATGACATGACAACCAGATGTATTTACTACACATCTTGCAAGGATCAAGTTAGACCCTTTCCTGATTTCAATGGCTTTGATCGATTTCCTTTCTTTCGTGGTATAATTGTTTCTTTCATTTAAGAATATCTTAAGCTTTTATGATGGATTATTTGAACAAAGTTCAATAGGATCATGTGATTGCTATATTACTAACAAATAACTCAAACCCCTCTTAATAGAAATAGAGACAAAAGGCCTACATTTGACATGAAAATTATAAGCTGTCCTAAGAAAAGTCTACCCTATCAAAATGAGAAAAAAAAAAGGAAAATTTACAAGATGTATAGGGAATGTAACTTTAGTGCCCATCTTTTCGCTTTACTTCATATTCGTACTCCCAAAACTTCACCAATGATGAAGACCTTAGCAGCTCACACTCAGCCAAACTCTATATTTCATGTTGCTTGCTCAAATATAGGACACCTATATATATTTATCCTCTCTGGGTATGAGAAGGCCATTTTATGGTACCACTTTTGTCATCGTAGGTGAAGGGGCAATGGCTTTCAGATTTTTAGCATGAGACATACATGTATAAGACCTTTCAATATCTTGGGCAATGTTCTTGGCATCCAATGATGCACCTAGCAATCCACGTTTATTGAACCCGACGGCATATAGCCCACATTCTCCTTTCCAACCATTTGGAAATGGCCTTTTTGGGAATCCATCTGTTTGTGAGAACATCTCTCTTTCCTAAGGACAAGAAAGAACTTATTAGGAGTGATGAAATATGAAATAGTGTACTCCACCAAATTTATAATGTTTACTATTTTACTCTTCATGGATCAACCTAATTGAAATTTGTTATTTTTTTTAAAGTCAATTTTTATCATATCAGAGTGACAAAATGTTAAGACATGAACTTCCATCCTAAAAAGTTAACTTGATAGGAGCAGTAGCCCAAAGATCATACTAAAAGGTCAACTGTATGGGACAAATAGTTTGCAAGTAGTTTTCAAAAACTTAATGAAAGGTCATTGAAAATATAAATCATTGATGTGGAAAGGAAAGAATGGAGTTTGCAAGCGGTATAAATCTTATTTTCAAAACGAATTTTGTGTCAAATTTAGAGGAAGTAAAAAAAACTTATACTTCGTATATTGTAGAGATTAAAAAAAGCGCAGGTCTTAGACAATGTGTAATATTTGCGGCGACTAAAAGTATGCTTAAACATACGTAGGCTCCATTTAGGGAAACAAACTGTCACAATTAGGGAATATATACTGTATGAGTTTCAAAAAATTGACAAAAACATTGCCTTTAGCTTAATGTGCTCTCGAAAGCCTAAAGCATTGGCTTTTTAGTTCACCTTAATCATGCTTAATTTAGCCCTTCATCAAAACAGGGGTGTTGCTCCAACAAATAATAGGCTTTGGAATTACGTTAGGCAAGAAATTACAATTCCAATAACAAAAGTTTGACTTTATATGTGCATAACACATCAAGTGGGGGGCTAACTCACCCCAAAATGACCATGTTGATTGTAGAATTATGGTTTAAGTGTGAGGTATTTGGATTTGAATCATTGATCTTGCTTCTTTCTTTTTAAAAGCAAAACTAGAATCACAATTAATTTTTCAGAAACTTGTCTCGTCCAGCTTCTAAAAAACTGTTTCTAGAAATATTTTGGATCACTTAGAAATACCATATTTTTACTCAAACATTCAATATTTGTTTCTGCTACTTCAAAGAGGAGTAGTTTTAATCCAAACACCCTCACATTAGACTCAAATCTTGTAAATATCTAACTAAAAAGGACCATAATGTATGTACAAATGTACCTTTAGCCAATAGGGCACATTGCTTTTGTAACCAGTTGCTAGGATTATAGCATCAAAATGTTCTTCTCTTCCATTTACAAATTCCACTTTATGATGCCTTAGTCGTTGAATGGCGGGATAGACCTGCATTAATTAATAAGTAAAGTGTATTAGTTAATAATAATGACTTTGTTTATAAGTAACAAAAAATGGAGGTATTATCAGACACTTTATTCTGTACAGAAGTTGATCACATCAATACTCAAGTTAAGGAAAAAAACACAAAAATCTTTAGTTAAATCCAAGTTGTATAAGTAGGGCATGGACCCATATGGCAGGGCTCCCCAATTCCAGTTTTTCAATCACCCTTTTTGGAAGACTTCAGATTATCAACTTGAATTGTCTTCAAGATAATAAGCAACAATTGGTTTGTCGAAACTACAACCGTTGGATCGAACGATTCTGATCCATCAAGCATCAATCAACCCCTATAGAACCACTCACTTCTTTCATTCATTACTTTGACCATATCTTTCATATATCTTGCCTTGGTCATATCTATTCTTTTTTATTAATTACTCCGTATAGAATAAAAATCACAATTGAAAGTTAAGCTATTACAAATAAATCTATTAATAGTCGAACTCATTTATTGACATACACTCCGTATAAAAGTCATCTACGTACTCTTCCGTATTATAATATGGCCACAATTGAACAGTAGAAATAAAATTGATTTAGTTATTTTTTATGATTATAATTGTATTCAAATTTTAGATTTAGGTGACTATAAGAGTATACTTATAACCACTTTCACGTTTTTATCCGCAAATTTTATTTTAGAAATATTTAAGGAAAACACCTACTTTACTTATGCACACTAAAAATATCTAATAAATTTTTACACGAATAATTTTAGACATTTTTTTAATTTGGGATGGACTTAGGTTTTTCAATGTAAGACTTTAAGATTTCAATTTTTTATATTCCATATAATTTTTCACCTTTAATGGAATATAAGCCAATAAGGTAAGGTAATATTAACGTATTCTCAATGTAAGATTAAAGGTAAAAGACATTACCTTAATTTGGAATAAGGTAATACTAGTGCATTCTCAATGTAAGATTTTAATTTGGAGTAATTTTCTTACAGTTCCGTTAATAACTAATTAAATCAAGGTGAAACATAATTACTTCAAATATAGAGAATTGAGGAAATGCTCTAATCATCCCTTACTTTTCTTTGAAGACATAACTTTTATACTGTAACTTATACGAAACTGAATCAAACAAATTCGGTATGACTTCTGCGGAAGTAGGGCCTAGGGAGGTGATATGCACTCAAATTAAACATTACATCTACGGAGTATATCCTAGAGCAATGATGCTTTTAAGGAAATCCTAGCAAGGTAGATTATAAAGTTTTGGAGAGCTTGCACTAATTTAGAAATTGTGAAAATGTTACTAAAACATTAAAGTAATGTGAACAATGTGAAATAAAATTGAATTTGCCTACAAAAGAGATCACACCTTTAACAAGGAGGTTTGTAAGGAACCATATTTGGCTCTAATGTGAAGTGGAGGACCCTATTATGAAATATGAATGGTCATAGTGATCCCACACAACACAAAATCTATACGGCTTCATAGTAAAAAAAAAGTAAGACAGACAAACCTTGAGGGGATATAATACCGACTGAACAGTTAAATAAGACGAGGTAAATACGACTTTAATCACAAACTGATAAATAGAAAATGGAACTCCAGACTAAGTAATTGAAGAGGCCATATATATTTTTATATGGCTCTATAGTATAATCATATATGGTTTCATGACATCAAAAACATAATTTTCAAATAAACACCTAGAGGAGTTTGGATATACTTCTTAAAACTTTTTCTACTCCTTCAGGGAGTAGAAATAGATATAGGAGTGTTTGGGTAAATGTGCAAAAGTAATTCTAGGTGCTCCAAATTGCCCTTAGAAACATCTTTTTAGAAGTTAGGATAGGCCAACTTCTAAAAATTGATTCTGACTTTGCTTTTGCTTCTTTTTAAAGCCGAAGGAAAATCAATTCCAAACACTCCCTAATCTAACACAATAGAAGCATGTCACGGGATTAAGAAAAAAACAAAAGACTACACTTACTTAATTGATCAAAACCACAAGTATACACCAAAATCCATTAAATTTTAGAAAGCACCATAGATTTTATGTCCAAGAAGAAGTAGTATGAAAGAGAAGTGGGTGATGAAAAATTTGATTTGTTATGGCCAAAGTAATGAAAAGCACACTGATACACTGATAAGTGCTGCTGGCAGTGCAATATTTTATTGCAATGATTGAGGGTGACCAAGAGATATCATCATGTGATGCATGGAAGCAAAAGATTGAGAATGGCCGCCGTAACAAAGGTGATAAGAAAGGAGATTCAGTGGCTCCTTAAAAAAGGG